AAAAAAACTTTGTCCTTTACTATGGGTACTTCTCTTTTCAGGCAATCCCAGCCTTAAGAATTATTCCCATTCCGCCTTCCCGTGCAGTGCACGATTAGCTACGATCTCTGATTCGTTCAAACGCTACGTCGCCTTTCCCCGTGCGCCCCGCGAAGGTCCAAGTTGTAAAGTATAGCAAGAGCACACTCTCATTGTGAACCAGTATTCACCGGACTACGAAGTAGGGCTTGTTGATCGTTTCGTTGCGACGTTACTTTTCATTATTTAAAAACAATTATTAAATTTAATTTACTAAAATTAGAAAATCAAATTAAAATAAAAAATGCGGGTCGCCCAAAACCGAGTTTGGAAATATCGAAAATCAATAAAGGAAGTCGGGATTATAAACGATCGTTTAAGATAGACATGTTTGAAAAAACTGACTGGTTATGCGGTTGTACCATTAACAATAGTCTATTCAACGCCTCTATTGTTTTCCGTGTTTGTTTTCTTCAAAGGCACATCATATATCTGCTAAATTGAGTTTTAATTTATTAGGTAAGCAAGATATACGGCAACAGTTAAATAGTGCATACCGTTTGAGTATCGAAAAACGTAATGAGGAAGTAAAAAAGAACAGGTATGTTTTGTCCAAAATTATAGACCGTATAAAATTTTGTGGTGCTTTGGAACTTGCTCTCCGCAACCATTGACACAATGAGAAAATTCAATAAACCCTGGAGTATTTCGAGGTCTCATCCATAAGCTTTTTTTATGCCATTTAATAGGCCCAAAAAACTTCGTGTTGCGGTGACACTCAAAAAATTTTCGCCTCCGGCGTTTTATCCGTGGCTCCATTTTCCCCCTTTTTTAAATTGTGCACCCCCAAGACACACCACTACGCGCCGCCACTGATCCCATTTCAAGAAGTTTGTAGCATAACGCATGCCTATCAATTCTGTGAAACGCAGCTTTAAAATCTACAAAGAAGGCAAATACCTGTTGCCGCTCTTTGGTTAATATTAGTTTGACTAAATTGACTAATGTACTGATATTGTCTACCGTCGAATATTCTTTTCGAAATCCAGCTTGAAACTCATTTAGTATTGCGTTGTAGTCCATCCATCGTATAATTTTATCCAAGAGCATTCCGCTAAATAATTTTCCTAATACATTGGAAAAGGAAATGCCTCTATAATTTGCTGCTTCACTTGTAGCTCCTTTTTTATGAATTTGAAATATTATTGCATCTTTAAATTGATCCGGTACAGCTCCACTGTCGTATATCTGATTAAAGTACCATAATATTTTTTCCAAAAACAGATTTGGGATATTGACACTTACGCCAGGTGGTTTTTGGCGCAGCGGACGCATCGTGGGGTGTAACCGCAGTTGACACTCGAGTGGCCGAACCTTTGGCAGGCGAAACACTGCGGAACTTGGCGGCTGGTGCGGAAAGCTTCAACTTTCAGGCGGCAGCAGTACAGCATCTCCGTGATTTCATACACCTTGGACGCGCCCGGCAGGTTTTTCAGAGTGACGAGGAAGGTGTTACTGTGCTCCCTACCTTTGCCCTGAATATTGGTTACGTAAGTTGTACTGAATCCGCGATCGGTGAGCTCTTCGACGATCTCGTCGGGGGTGATTGTGATTGTGGTTGCCAGACGGATGACGGTGCCGGAGGCAGCGTCGGAGCTGATGAGGGGGGGGGGGGAGCGGTGCGCTGGACGCCCGCGACGGTGGCTTCTTCCACCGCTGTGACCGCGGCGGTAATGGGTTTGGGGTTGGTTGTCCCACCAGGGGACATCCTGCTCTGAAAAAGAGCACCTTTCCGTTACTTCGTGCCTCTTAGGTGTGGTCGTGGGCGTTTCTTCTCTCTCTCGAGCGCTTCACTGCCTGTCGCGGTCGGAAGGTGAACCGATCCGAAGACGGTTCGTCGGTTGAAATCGCGTGTGCGATTAAAGCCGATGCAGGTGGTCTGGTCCGAACGAGTGCTCAGAGTCAGATGGGCCCGGCCTCTTAGGGCCGGTATTATAAAGCCCGCTTGAACGAAGATTGGCGTTCAATCGTAGTTTGAGTGCGATTGCGCGTATTATTAACGCCGCTTTAGTCGTAACCAGAACTCAAATCTCCGATTGTAATCAACCCGCCACTTTTCTCGGGTTTTGGCGCCCAAACGGAGATTAGGCGCGCGAACGTGTAAAGATTTAGAATTATCGTAACCAGTTTATTTTGTTTTGTGTCATTGTTTCTATTTATAACGAAATGGAAATAATTGAAATTGGACGTACAAGAGGTCGGTTACTGTCGGCAGTAAGCGACGATTGATGCTCTTTTCGGCAAGTAGGATGAAGATGAATTTCAGCAGAGATTTCGGTTGTTCAAGGATACTGTTAGATCCCTATAAAACAGGATTGGAGCACTAATATTGTCCCCCAAACAAACAGATAGGTGATGCTTGATGCTTTATCTTGTTCTTGGTAGTAGAGGCGTCCGCGTCCGTGCGTTTAGTTTCAATTAATGAAAATATGACTACGCAGTCCCCTTGCTGATGGGCGTCCGCGTTCGTAAAAACGACTCGCTTCTTTTCCCTTGTCTATCAATTGGCACAGCGGCAGGCAAAACAGCGCTATTAGTCCAGTCAACCTGTGTCGTAAAACACCCGTTGAAGGAAAAAAATAGTATAAAGCTAATTTTTTCCCCATCGACTACTACCATTTAGACAAGTGTTTAGCCAAAAGTCCCTGCCCCTACCCCCCTTGCTTCACCCCCTGTGCTCCCCTGAACATGAAAAGTGTAGGGGTTTCGTAAATCGCGTCTCTCTCGATTACTAAACAACATATCGGATTGCAATTTGTTTTATTCTCTTTGCTATAACATTGTCTACAAATAAGTTCAGTTGACTTTCGTCGTAACTTTTACCGTTTGTTGGTAATGACTATGAAAAGGTAAAAAGTAGTATATTTTTCGGCACGTAATTTTACTTTTTGTCGCAGAAATTTTCACGCCGACATTTTATCAAAAAATGTTGCCTACAAAAGTTGTAGCTCCCATTATTACCTTTAAAATGATATGACATAGTACGTACTTTGTTGAAGAGCCTGCGAGATTCAGCCGGTGTAATGCAGAATGCGTACCCCCAGTCGTGGCGGGCTTCGTCGAGGTGGGCCCGGCGGCGCGACGTTGCGATGCTAATATTGTTGTATAGTGAGTGTTTTTTTTTTAACTTTAAGGTACACTATTGCATTTTCTCTAAACAAAACCAAACGAGTCTCAGTGAAACCTAAATTCCACCCTTTTTAAATTTGTGTCAAATATTAATAAGTCCTTGTATAAGTACAGCTAAAAAACGTATTTTAAATAGTTTTTTGTTTGAAAATGCATGTAATATTTCGTTTATGTTGATTTAGAAGAAAATAATTGCGGTATCTTAATTTTTTTTTATTAAAAAATAAATTGATGTTGACCATTTCCGATTTGTTCTCGTTGATGTTGCCTTTGCCGAATAAAGAAGACCTGGTATCACATTCTGTGATAACATAAAAAAAATAATATCCTATCCTTCATATCACCAATCTCTTCACGGGTCTTGCTGATGTCATAGGTTGATGGTATGCCAGAGGGCTTGTGAAAGAATAGTTGTACATTTTGGCACTGTGGTAGCCCTAAGAATACAACTGATAGTCAATGTAACTTAAAGCTGTTGCAAAAATGTCATTAAAATCCAAATTTAACGTCGCATCCCTCCCTCCAACATCTGGTGCTGCTGAACAACACGCTTATCGTCTATCGAGCATACTATCAGATTCAAAACTGGATCCTGCAACTGCAAAAAGGCTTGCAAAAGTAATGGCAGCTGCTTTAAAGCATCACTTGTTGCACAGAAATGTGTGGGAGCTGTGGCGGATCATGCAGTAATGTAACTTTGGTTGAAGTCAAGGAAAATGAAGAACTTGTCCTGGAAGTTTAGGAAATCGGAAATGATCAACATCAATTTATTTTTTAATGTGAATAATCTGAAAATATTTTTTACTTCAAATTAAGATACCGCAATTAGTTTGTTCTAAAATAACATTAAAAAAATATTACATGCATTTTTAAACAATAGTTATTTACATAAAAGTCAGGAAAATGATACATTACTGTCGAGTACTTTAATTTCCGTGTCAGGTAATGTCATTTATTCACGATCATATTGTAATCAGTCTCATAATTGTCATTTTGAAGGATAAGGAAGTTGTGTTTTACAACACTTATTTTTCCAGGAGGGAGGAAAGTAGATTCTCGAGGTTAGTAATGTTCGATTCGAGGTTAGTAATATTCATTACCTACCTCGATTTAGTTGCTAATATCCTAATGGATGGCGCTCTCATCGTAACTGTCTGACACAGATGACAGCTGATTTAGATGCAAATTGTTCAAAACCGCATTTTAAAAACAATTCTTATTCTTATAATGAGTAATATGGATTATTTTAAGCTCTGTGCTTTTTTTTTGTAAATTGCAAATGAACGACCAAACGCGAAAAAGTGAAATAAGTAAATGCGGACCGAAGTAAACACAAGTAGGAGTTGTGATTAACTTTAGCCAGATTACGGAGATGATGGTTTGTTTCACGTAAGCTAAAACTAAACGAGGGCGGTGCTAAATGGTTAAGTAAAAACAAAAGCAAAAAGAAACCGTTAATTATTGAAGGATCGGTAAGTGTATAACACTCGAACTTGAGTTTAATGAAATTGATTGTTACTTTAGAGAGCCCATTACTGTTTAAATTTCTGGGTGGAAAAGTTCAATTCTTGTCCATAAGACATGGAAACATTGGGTTGCGCAGTTGCGCTTGCGACCCATGAGAAGAGCAAGGGATGGCAATTTATGGCATCATAATGTTGCATATCGGAGACGTCGTAGCACTACCTGAAGAGGATACTGCCATACTTTGTTATTTTCGCATGCCCGTAAAGCGAATGAGCCACTGAATGGGCGACGAAACCTTCTGCTACTGCAGCCGATCTACAGCCAACGAACTGTTTTAAGTTGAAGAACTCCACCAGCACTTGCTAATATTGTACCGATGAGATGCCAAAAACAATGTCCGGTAATTAAATGTAGGTAATTTGTCACATTTTAGAAATAGATAATGCTATTTTTTAGGGCTATCGTATTGGAACAGGTGTTTAGTGACTACCTGATTGGATCTGGAGAATAAATCTTTCGTTATTGACATCTACATAGATTATAATACTAATATTGTAACCCAGTCTAAATCTGTAATCATAAAAGATCGCTGTGGGTACATTTTAGAATAATAAAACTGACATGGTCATTAGGCATTAGGTTTGAATGTGGATCACAACATTATTTGGTCGTTCATAATGTGGATGATTTCTTTACCTTTACCTCATTAAAATAAGCAAGTAAAACATGAAGTTTTACCTATACCCTTTCCTGCCCACCATTGTTCATTCTCTTCAAAAATTCATTCGGGGAGTAAATTTTTTACTACACTCAATTTCCCTTATTTGAGGGGATGTACATTGAAATTGTTTAGTATGGGCCATTTTTTAACATGCATGTTAAATTAATATGAATATTAATTAGGTAAATTTCCAAATCTGTATTACCGACAACATTTTATGTAGGGCAATAATATTGCAGATGGCGCATAAGATGAATATACTACGTATAAATTTAGTGAATTATTTTATTTTTGATAATGGAATGATTATAATGATGATCGTGAATAAAATCGTATACGAACCTCGACGAAAGGTTATTTTTCTTAGAATATAATCACCCTCGGCGCTGCGCGCCTCGGGTGATTAAAATTCTTCGAAAAATAACCTACTTTCGCACTCGGTGCGTAATATACTAATTTACTGACGAGGTTTGTATGAAATTTTACCCGAAATCGTATTTTAATATCAAATTTCAATTTTTATAATATAGAACTTTTGATTAATGTCAATCTCAGTGATAACGGGAGTCTTAATAGACATTTGGAAATGTCACAAATGCGGCCGGTAATTGGTAAAGTGACGGTGCGGCCGGTAAAGTGACAGGTGCGGCCAGTAAAGTGACAAACGGCAGAAAACGTATGCCTGTCATGGAAACTAAAATTTCCTGACAGAAAGTAAGCATGGAAATGAAGGTTTCAGGACGATTTTGGGTAATAGAAAACTATTTAAAATACGATTTTTAGCTGTATACAAGGACTTATTAATATTTGACACAAATCTAAAAAGGGTGGAATTTAGGTTTTGTTTAGAGAAAATGCAATAGTGTACCTTAAAGTTAAAAAAAAACACTCACTATACAACAATATTAGCATTGCAACGCCGCGCCGCAGGGCCCACCTCGACGGAACCCGCCACGACTGGGTACGCATTCTGCATTGCACCGGCTGAATCTCGCAGGCTCTTCAACAAAGTACGTACTATGTCATATCATTTTAAAGGTAATAATGGGAGCTAGAACTTTTGTAGGCAACATTTTTTGATAAAATGTCGGCGTGAAAATTTCTGCGACAAAAAGTAAAATTACGTGCCGAAAAATATACTACTTTTTACCTTTTCATAGTCATTACCAACAAACGGTAAAAGTTACGACGAAAGTCAACTGAAACTTATTTGTAGACAATGTTATAGCAAAGAGAATAAAACAAATTGCAATCCGATATGTTGTTTAGTAATCGAGAGAGACGCGATTTACGAAACCCCTACACTTTTCATGTTCACGGGAGCACAGGGGGTGAAGCAAGGGGGGTAGGGGCGGGGACTTTTGGCTAAACACTTGTCTAAATGGTAGTAGTCGATGGGGGAAAAAATTAGCTTTATACTATTTTTTTCCCACTAAAAACACAGGTTGACTGGACTATATGTAAAACGATTTAGGAAGGAGATGAACAGATCGACACAGTGACAGTGGCAGGGGCACATGCTAGGGCAAATGGCACAGAAGCGAAAAGAACGAGCGGCGCGGGCGCGATGGGTGCGAAGAACTTAATTATCATCAGCTGTCAGCTGACGCATCGGCCGCGGAAGTTTCTGCGTTCTGTTTGGTCCTCGGTTCGTCCGCAGTGTTGCCATACTAGGGATCGTAAACTCAAACGGAGATTAACCAAACGCTCATCCCAAGGTGTTTATAATACGTAACCGCTCTCAATCTTGGTTTAACGGGTCCGTTAACTTGCCCCCCCCCCCCCCACTGAGAGATTTGATAGTCGTATTATTTTGAAATGAATGCGCTCGTTATGCGCTCATATGCGCCACCGATAATAACTCTTGCGCCATTACCGTTTTTTAGAAATCCGAAAAAACATTTGGGGGGGCCAAGTGAACGGCTCATTTTAGCGCATGATGAAAGGTACGATGTAGTAGAAAATACATGTTAAAAAACCTAACCTTTTGAAAACGTTAAGTTAGCCCTCCCCGCTTTTTATAGTATTTTACATTATTAGCCAGGTAAGTGAGTTTTTACTGGCGATAGGAGAAGTTGACTGGTGAGCCGTCAGGCGAGCCTGTCATCTCCTAGAGCTAGTAAAAACTATTACCTGGCGTATAATGTACAATATTTTATTTGTTACTCATTTGTAAACAATAGTAAACGTAAATACATAATTAGTTCTGAAATTAATCTCGAAGAAATGTCTAAAATATCATGTTATCCATGTAACAGAGACTTCGCATTAATTCTGGCCAATGAAATTACTACGATAGATTACTAACTTGTAAAATTTTTACAGGTCAGCTGTCAGTTTTACAAGTCAGTAGCGTTTAAACATCACGTTTACCCGTTTGCGTTTTGTCTTGTTAATCAACGTTTACAACTGAGTAACAAATAAAAAAATTTTTAACCGTAATGGCGCTAGCTTTAATTCAAGTGGAGCAATTGAGCGCACAACCAAATGTATCAGGTGAGCTAGTTACAAGCGACAAAATACGTACGGGGGGGGGGGGGGGCTACGTTCACTTGCCCCCCCCCCCAATGTTTTTTCGAATTTCTAAAAAACGATAATGGCGCAAGAGTTATTATCGATGGCGCACATGAGCGCATAACGAGCGCATTCATTTTAACATAATACGACTATCAAATCCCTCAGTGGGGGGGCTAAGTTAACGGACCCTGGTTTGACGTTCAATCTCTTCGCTTGAACTGAACTTATATAATACCGGCCCTACACTGCACGGCCCCGGCCGGAATGGCAAATGCGCAATTTAACTGCTAGCCTCTCTATGGTAATCGGCGGTTCCACGGCGCAAGACCATGTCGGAATTGGAGGTTTTCAAGAGTGCAACCAGGTTGAACTATCCCGCCCTTATTGTAAATATGTCGCTCAGCGGACCAGCGTTGCCTTAATTTCCCAGCACGTAGAGAGCGCCGTACGTTTGGCAAATTGTGTCCGGCCCGGTGTTTCCTACTTAGATTTTCCGGCAAATTTACTTCAAAAAACAGTTTTGGAAGAGACAATTCCGAAGCAATACGTGGTTTGTGACAGTTATAGGTAATGTTTGTTGTACCTACATTAAATATTTTTGTTTCCTTGTTTGATGTTTACATAGTCTCATTTGAATGTACTGTGTTGAGTTAGGTAGATTTCTGTTTTGTATTTTGTAAAGCAACCATTATTAACCACAATTTCCAGTGGTGGCAACTTGGCAACGGCAAGACTACGTTCTGCGCTCCGCCGGGTCATCCCCTAGCTACGGACCTGTATAAATGCTTTCTTTACTTTCATGAAATCATGGCGCGTCTCATAAAAGCACACAATTTAGATGAATTTAAGTTGCGCTAGCGATGTAGGTAATTCTAATATATTATTATATTCTAAGTACATACCTACAAGAGTAAAATTTACGTTTCCCGATTGACCCATGTCATGAGCTATCTGGAATGGAGTATACAGAGTGGCCCAACGAGAAGTATACAGAGGGCTTTTAGAGTATTAAATTTAGAAATTTCGAAAAATTCTCGAACACGTCAATTTTGTATTCGAGGGGGACAACTTTTGGAATACAAATCACGAACCCAAGTCTTCACCCCTCTACGTAGGGAGCTTAACCCCTAAAATTTTAAATGGAATCCTATGCCAAATGGCACATTATTTGAAAGCCAATCGTGATTACTAATCTGCTTTGCTTTTTAAATTCTATTGATTCGTTTCGGAGATATTCGCATTTGAAATGGTTTTTTCTAAAAAACCAAAACAAATACGATCTAAGTCACCTTGTATTAAAAAAGGTTTAAATTGTGCAAAAAAAAACAAATAACTTTAAACAGACAACATTTATTTCAATAAATGCTCGAATTGCCTTCCGCCTGCTTCCATGCAATAATAAAGATTTCTTCAAAACGCTGCCGTACATGTTGCAAGATTTCAGGGGTAATCGCTCGAAATTGTTGAGTTATACCATAGTGTATTCTATTCTTACACTATGGTTATACGTGCTCGCAACCCTTGTAATGTTCCGGGCGGAGTAGCATAAACTTTATTCTTTAAATATCCTCACAAGAAGTAATCGAAAGGACTTAAATCAGGGAAAAAAACCATTTCAAATGCGAATATCTCCGAAACGAATCAATAGAATTTAAAAAGCAAAGCAGATTAGTAATCACGATTAAATTGGCTTTCAAATAATGTGCCATTTGCCATAGGATTCCATTTAAAATTTTAGGGGTTAAGCTCCCTACGTAGAGGGGTGAAGACTTGGGTTCGTGATTTGTATTCCAAAAGTTGTCCCCCTCGAATACAAAATTGACGTGTTCGAGGATTTTTTGAAGTTTCTAAATTTAATACCATAAAAGCCCTCTTTATACTTCTCGTTGGGCCACTCTGTATTTAGTATTTACGCCTGTGATATTATTTAACCAAACATGTCATTCTCAAAAATTAAATTCGGATGCTCGCGGAAATCACATTAACTTGCCAAATTTTTAAAACAATAAACGGGCACGAAATCACTTTCTCATATTGGTGTGGTAACCACCGATCGAAACTCACAACGTTAGCTAAAAGCCAAAAGGAGATAATACGAACACGAAGTATTATATTATAATTAGAGTACAATACAATCATAAAGAACATCCTGTAACTACCTGTTAAAGTCCACCTTTGCAAACATGGCTTCCTCTGAACGTAAACCTACTTCTAATAAATTCAGATTCCCTGAACACAAGCAAGTTAAATGCTGTTCAGTTTTGATCGTCATTGGTGCAACTCGTTCACGTGAGCTTCCCACGAATGTTGCTTTCCCGTCATTATTTTTTTTCTTTTATAGAAGTTACTCAAGCGGTATTGTGTTGACTGTTATAGTTCGGTTATGTGTGTGTATATTTAAACTAAGTGTAAACTGATCGATTTTTATTGAATAAAGTGCAACCTTTTCAACGTACCAATCATATAAACGACCGACCGCGAACGACGAATTTAAATTTGTTATTTCCGCGTAGCATCGATAACAAGTGCCTTATTTATTTTATTTATTACTATTAATGATAATACTGTGTGCCAGACTTTTACCGAATGGATTGATTAATAATAATCTTAAAAAATAAACGCCGACGAACCTATATCTAAAACCTACTTCGATTTATTTCTAGATAAAGGTTGAGGTGTCTCGCTAATCAAATGAAACGTGTCTTTTAAACGTAATAAAAAATATGTTAGGAATTTTTGGAATGTATTAGTAAAATGTGTAGTTTTGCTGCGTGTGAAAGCTATAACAACGGGTATACCGTTGCATGACCGTGTGAATGACTTCTTACTATGGACGAAATCGCATTTAACGATTGGCCTGGTCAGCCAATGGATTTGTCTGGAAGCAACCACTGGCTACCGGCATACGGATTCCAGCAGTTTCACACGGTTCTGGATAAAGAGGATTTTATCGGAAATCCTGGTGAGTCTGTTGTCTGTCTGTTAACTCGACTCTGTAATGTTTACAATGGATGGATCTATCTTTACGCACGCGCAACCGCTACTTCTGTTCACCATTCAAAAATTCAGTGTAGGATATTTAAATGTCACTTGATCGACTTCTGACTTGTGATTTTTGAAAGAAAAATAACGTGCTTAGTAAAAGATAATTAATCGTCACATTCACATAAAGTAAACACGGTTTAATGAATATTTAGATTGTGCATAATCTGGATTTAAGAGGCATTAGGTAATTAAGTGCATGTTTATGTGCTGTCACGGGAAGTCGGTTTTTGTTATAAATATTTCAGCGTAATAATTTAGATACCGCAACGCGTGTAATGGTTCGTAAATTTAACGGTAAGAATTCCCTAAATTACGTTAGGGCTCCGAAGAGTAACGCACCATCTTAGATTTTTAAAAAGTGTATGTACCTACCTAAGCACCTAAGTGAAATTACTGATATTGAAAGGCGATTTATTTGAGAAACTCAGAAATGCATCTTGCTAAAGTTATTTGTAACGGTCTTGGTAGCTTAACCTTAACGTATAGCTGTAACCGACGCTGTAACAATGATTTCAACATTTTATTTATTTATGTATTTTGCCTTTATTTTTGAGTGGGCGGGGTTACAGCCAAGGCTGCTCTACCAACCAAGCCCACTATACATTTACAAATATCCATGTTTCAAGTGAAATGTCGATCTCTATACCCACTCTTTCGCTAGAGAAAAAATCATAATAATTAATAAGACGAATTAGTTATGTTATTCTACCAATGAACGATGTCTAATTGCAAGGGGCCTCGAGTTTATCGCCCGAAAATTAAAAACAAACCAGTAAACCCGTGGGCTACGCTCCACTCCTTTTATGTAAGGTAGCTTACGATATTAACAATTGCAATATTTCAACTACTTATAAATCCAAAATACATTTAATGAATTCGTCAGCGCGGTCGATAGGTAAACTCCCTAATGCGAAACAATCAGACTTTTTATAAATGCAGCAACTGAGACTTAAAAATATACATTTATTGTATAAATTTCACTACTGCATTCCGGTAATACTTATTTTGGAAACCATGACATGTAGGAAGAAAATGAATATATCCATTTTTTGTAGGAAATTTAATTGTCTTTAACTGCCTAATTCCGTTACACAACCATTTTGATAAGAATGGTTTTTAGGTAGAATGGATGGTATAAGGTTAAGCGAAAAACGAAAAAATGTGGCCCTCTTTCCCACCTGCAGCGGCTGGGCTAGAAACGGGGACTTTTGCTATTGCCGTCCTCTACAATCCCTCTATTGACTGAACTATATTGTCATTGTCACTGCTTAGTTAAAGAACATACTATCAAAGACTATCCTATCCTCTAGTCTTTGATAGTACAGTTCTCACGGCGAGTGTAAATTTGCCTAGCAGCAGGACGCGCTGCGCACTGTTTCGAATTTAAATTGTTTGAAATAGCGCGATTGCGTAAGCCATTGGTATGTAATTTACATAACCGACCGCTGCCGAGCACACGATATACCGACCTGCGCGACACGCACGGGGTACAGGTACACACTCGCCGTGATAACATACCACAGAAAACAACACAGGTAATATGGATCGTTTCTGTAGTGTATGTGGTGCAAGAAAACGACTTAACTTCGATTTTTCAATAGGTAAGTAGCCACTATATTTTATTGTACCTAAGTAAAACTGTTGTATTTCAGAGAAATGTGAAAAATGTAACCAAATGCCGCACATTCTCTCATTTGAATTGAAATCAAGCAATGTTTTACGTTGTTCAGTGTGCGTGTCGTACATTTGCGAGTCAAATAGATATTGTGAAATATGTGGCCATACCGTAGAACGTAGTAAAATAATTAGAAGCAAACGGGCAATTGAAAACCGCGACATGATTCGCGTAAAAAAAAATCAGGCTTTAGAAAGAAGAAGAGAAACTCGCAATATGGTAAAAGCTGAAACAATTACATCTTTATCAACATCGCATTTAGATGAGTCATTAGAGCAGGCTGATGTAAATAAATCGTTTGCAACTGATGGTGAGGGCGACATTTTATTCAGTCAGCTGCGTGATGAAGATCTCGCCAACGACGTAAACAACGGCAACGATAAGAAAGAAACACATTTAGAGGAGGTGTGTGATATAGAAAAGGACGCCGATGTAAAGGATAAAAAAGAAGAAAACAATTAAAAAATATTTTTGTGTTTTATTCAGTATATTTTTACCTTAACTTGTTATAAGAAAAACATATTTTTAGTTTAGGTAATAATCAATTATATCTAACTTAAAAATAAAACTTACAGCAAAAAATGCCAAATACGCATAACGGGCGATCAAAAATGAGTTGCTCTCTAGTCGCCTTTGGAAGTTCAATTTAAGTACATTTCCCATGTAAACAAAAATTCCAAAGGTGACTTGACAGCAACTCATTTTTGATCGCATTGTACATGTATCAGATTTGAAACAGGGATTGCGTTAACAAAATGTTAGGTTATAAATATTGGCTCTCCTAATAATTGAAAACCGGAATTACAAAACTTCGGGGTAAACAACATTGCGCGTGAATTTTCCCGAATAGTTTGGGAAAGACCCCTGTGTTTTCGAGTCTTCAATGAAAATTCGTATACAGTCAAATTTACGAACTCGGGAAAGAGCTACATAAAGCTGACCGTGAGAAAATACTGGATCGGGAAGGTACAGGGACACTTTTTTAAGAGTTTGTCCTTGACTTTTATTTATTGTCATACAAAATGCCAATCGTAGTGGGAATTATAGACGTTCAAATTTAAAGGGCAATGCAGTATCAGATGGTTGCAGTTTAACTTTGGGTATAAGTACTCGTTCCCCACGATTTGCTCCAGTTAAAATTTCACACTCGATAGAACTTGGATTCATATTCAATACACGGAGACGTGTACCATTAATAAGTCCTTGTGCGATGTTCATATTTCTTAATAAAATTACAATGGCATTTTTTTTCAACTTTAAGCAATGCTGAGGAAGACCACTGATTTCCACACTGTTAAGGAATTCCGGTGGTAGTTGGTCATGTTCTTGGGGATCTTGCGTATCTATACTAAAATATATTTGTGGCTCACCTGAAAGTTTGTCAAGGACTTTTTCATTAATGATTGTTGCGTTATTATTTTTTGGGGTAAGTATTGCTCTATCGACGATTTCTTCCAGATACAATGTGTCTATAATGTTTCCGAAAGTAAAGTTAAGCATTGATTCAATACCTTGACCTATAATTTTTTCGGGAATCTGAATGAGACCTTCTCCGATTTCTGGATGAGCTGGATATTTGCCATCTCCAATATCTAATAGAAATTTTGAGAACGCACCATCATCTTCACTGGCTCTCATGTTGGTTTGAAGATCTAGTTTTTGGAAATGAGTAAAAAGTGGATTGGACTTAATTGATGATTCAACCGTAACTGCACGACCGACGTGAGCAACAACGGAAAGTGTTTGGCGAAAGTCACCACTAAGTAAAATAAACTTGTTTCCGAAGTGTCTTTCCTTATCGGAGCCATTAACTATATCTTTAAATAGTCTATTAATTACCGTAAGAACATCAGAGCTAATCATTGGCGCCTCATCGCATATAATCAGTTTTGAAGATCTAATTCTTTGTGCAATGGCAGAATTACGTCTAACTTCAGGAACGGAGTCTGATCTTGTGGGAACAGGCAACTTTAATTGAGAATGTATTGTTCGACCACCTGGTAGCAAAGACGCTGCAATACCTGTATAAGCCATAGCAATGCAACTTGAACCGAGTTTGGCAATTAGTGAACGTTGTATAAAAGTTTTTCCGCATCCGGCCGCTGCTGAAAGAAAATATAAACGTTGAGAGCTGCCGGTGTCTATGGCTTGGATTATTGTATCAATCACAAACTTCTGTTCGGCATTTGCTTGAGAATATAAATCCAAAAAAGTGTCACTATTATTGTCCGCGTCTGCGCTTTGTGCCATTGTTGAAGGTGTTGGCAAACCAATCAGAGCACATGTTGTATTATTTTCCAAAAGAATTTCTTCAATTTCCAGAAGTGCGCAATTTTCGGCGTTCTCAAGGCTCATTGTTTGGATGTAATCTTCATACATGTGGTATTTGAAATCATTCCATATCAAATCCACATTATTAGGGACATTCAGTGAACAAATGATTGCGAAAAACTGACGAATTTGTTTGGGTGTTTTAGCACCGCAAACCTCCGCAACAGCCTGATACCAAATCATATCATTGGCCGAAATACCTCTTGCTTGGCAAGCGTCAACATAAGTTGAATAGACGTGGCCATCATATGTTCGTAGGTCTTCGAAGTTTTTCGCACCACGTACATGTAGAAGTAGCATTCGTAAATGGAAAAGCTCAGAATTTTTTGGATTTACAGCGTATAGGCGGCTTACAACCTTTGGTGAATTTTGTTTGCGTTTTTGCCAACAACGCCCATTATTTGACCAAGTGTAATGCAATGGTGTTTCAGTGTAAAGGTACTGGTGTGCAAATTCGTCTATTTGATTAAGACGGAACCAAGCAAGTAGTTTGGATTGGCGAACGTTTTCCTGTACCAACTTATTGCCTATTTGATCTTCATTAAATATAATTCTTTGTTGATTTTGAAGGTGACATTCGAGTTTGATTATTGTGTGTGATTGATAATGCATTTCAAATTCATTGATTCGCCATATAGCTTCATGGGCGCCAACATATCGTCCTGTGATGAATGTGTTTATTTCGTCGTGTGATAACGCTACAGAAGTTGAGTCGGTGGTAAAGTGAAGCGTTCCGGCGTCATACCCCTTGTAAATGTATTTGCTGAAAAATGAAAGACACGTTATTAAATACCTACTTATATATTTAATGTATCATTAATACTTACTAAATGTATTTAATTGATTTAACGGAAGAGCAAATTTCCACATTGATATGCGCATTATATCGTTGCAAAAGATATGGATTGTGAGGCACGATACGACGATTATCAATTAGATTGTTATTGGATTTCCATATCTCCCTCCCATTGTTTCTACGGCGGTATATCGGATAGCCGTTGATCGCTTCGCGAGTATTTTCACTGAAGTCTTTTGGATATTTTTTGGAGCATTTTCCTTCTTGTAAGCACATTGGATTGCAAGAATGAGTCATATGAGACGTTACTAAAGCGTATAGATGGCCTTCTTTTCTTGGATCAGGGATTTCAGCCGAAATAAAACGATCGATGTCTTCAGGTGTTCTTATTGCATCATCTTGATGAAGTGTCACCAATATATGAGCGTGGGGAAGACCTCTTTTTTGAAATTCAATTGTATAAACGAGCGCCGCAACTCCACCGAAAATCCTTCCTTTCACAATTTCTTCAATTAAAGAGTTCAGCTTTAACTTGAATACTCTCACAACAATATCAGGACGATACTCTGGCCTGTTTTCGGGTTGAATAGTTGTTTTTATTTCGTCCCAATTGGGATTAGCTGTAAAAGTAATAAATAAGGAAGGCTTTCCGCAAACTTGAATAATCCTCATGGCATCTAGGTAACGTTCGTGCATATTTCGGGGGGAACCAATGAAGGAGGATGGAAGAATGACCATTTTACCCGGAACTACGCCAAGTTCGTTTGATTCACGAATCATAAAGTCCATCACGTTACAGTAGAGGTCGGCCCTTAGTTTGCTTTGATTCATTCGAATGTATGTGAGACGTTGACTTTCAATCCGAACGTAAATATCCACAATATATTGAAGGAAAAGCTTCTGGCTTCTATGCAGCAATGAAAAACCGGGCCTCACTGAAAGGCGATATGATACATATTGCAGAAGAGTAACCTTAAATCGTGATACGGTACGATTTTCTTGAATATGCTCCATGTTCATGTCCCAACCCTTGTCTCCATTTGGGAATAACAAAGGATATGTCAGTGGATCAATTATGTTGGATAGAATGGGAACCTGGCGTATCCCTCCTGTTAGCAGGTAGATTACAATGTCGCGATTATTGTTTAAGGGAGGAGCACCATCAGAGGATTTGAAAATTGTTGCAATTTTTTCAGTTCCTGAAGCATCATTGTAGCGGCCAGGATGGCCATCTGGTGGGCAGCTGCCATGGAGATACATACACACTTCTCGGGTATTGCGGTTTTCACTTTCTGCGAGAGATTGCTCTTCGAGCCATAAGTTATGCATAGTTTTGAATTGCTGAGCATAAGGATTGACCTGGTGAATGTAATTCGAAATGTGCTTCATTAGGTTAGCATCGCATTCGGCATTGTATGTATTACTCATTCTCTGTTGTACTGCTTCGTCGACGTCATATGTGTATACAGAAGCATTGCGTGCTGGGTGGGAGTCATTTGTCAATAATGGGCCGATACTATGATAAACCTGTCCATGGATTTTGTAATAGTAAACACCGTGTCCAGGATTTTCTTCTAATTCGGCTTGCATGGATACCATCTGATGAGCTGCGTTATATTTCCGAATATTTTTTAAATATTCTTTAGAAGTTTGATCATCTTTTTGTATAAGTTCCTGTAAAAATATTGAAGACGAAATTGGGTGTAGTTTGACTTTGGCCTTGTGGCAGCAATTTTTAAACACAACTGAATTTGTAGTGTCGTGTTCGGCTGTAAAATGCAAAGCATCACAACCACTACAGGTAACATCCATGGTACCTAAGTGATGCACATTGGTGGTCGTGGTGGCATCTTCAATAAGAGATACAAAATAATCGTAACCTCAATTTGTAGAATCTTACCTCTCCTTCTTCGCATGTTAACACGGCGATCTTCGCTCTTTTTACGCGCACGTGTGGGCATATTTAACAATCGTTAACCGAATGAACGAATAAATAAAATCAAGTCGTTTCCACAAAGCGGAAATCAAAAACACAGCGTAAAAATGCAAGCGAATGAAATCATAAGTCTGCATTTAACCTTTGAGCCGTCTTATTTCGTTATTCAATGGTTCTACCTAGTAGATAGGCAACCCTAATCACTCCTTCATAAATGCCTTTCATACATCGACCTTGAAGTGTATTGCGTGA